CACACAGGTACTGAAGCACTGGTGAGCATCCACGTGCCTAGCTCATGAGTTACATTGTCATTCAGAAATGAAGCAAATAAGATGCTTTTAGGTATCTGGAAGAGTTCAATCTGGTAGACATGCAAACAAAAGGAAGAATGATTCTATAGCTTAGTGATCAAGGCACTCAATCAAGGGACAAAAATCAATAACTCTCCCAAGTCAGTCCTAACCACTAGGCTACAGGCAGGTTCCCTCTTGCCTCCTTTCCTTCTGGTCCCATTACTCTTGTATTCATGGCTGCACAATGAACCACCTTCAAAAGGAGGAGTGGAGAGTAGCCCCACTCAAACTATTAAATAGCCTCAACTTCAGGGTACTCTCTAACATTGTATTAGATGTAGCTTTGCCTCCCCATAGGCTAAAGAGGCCCCAAAGCAAAGGTCTCCCATTTCCAAGGGCACCCAATTTCTGCCTACAGTTATTATACACAAGGTCAGTGTCACCAATCCCTGCCCAGTTAGGCACTTGCCCTAGAAAGAGGTCTCTGTGTTCTTAATCCCAAGCGAACAGAGACTCCAAATATGCTGCCCTTAGTTGAGGCAGAATTTTGTACTTAATGTTTTCTGATTAGCTAGCTCAAGGGAGTTCCCTGGCCTCTGAAAATTCTTTTGGAGGCATCTAACTCTCCCCATTGACTATGAATGGAGACTGGGTCCCTAACCCTATTTCTTTGAACCATTTTCTTGATACCAGGCACCATATTTTAGGCATACCACATCTTTAATTGGAGTTGCCTAAGGGGCTAAACAGGATCTTGCCTTAAAGTCTCATTTAGAAAAGTGATTTAGGAATTTAGAAGCCTAATTGTCATTAAAGGTCAATGGAATGTATATTCATAAGTACCTCAAGTCACTTTTTAAAACAAGATTTACTTTTCTAAAACTCTCATGTGTTCTTGAAGATTTTACCCCAGATCTAAAGTTCTTTACTGAATTGATAGTTCTGGAGAAGTGTGAAACTTCTTTGTGTCTAGTTATCATTGTTGTCATTGCTGGCAGTCCTTTGATACAAGGATGATAGTCTTCCAGTACACAGGGAAGTCATCAGTGAGTCTGGGGGTGGCTGCAGAGGCCAATCCAAGATCTGCATGTTCAACTGCAGATATGGCATGCAGTTCCAGAAGGAAGGAATGGATCCTGATGATGTCAAGTCACAGCTCTTAACCTTTGTTTCACTTGCTTATTTACCTCCATAGTGAGACAACTGTGCACAAAATGGTCAATGCCTTGTACTTTACAGAGCCACTGGGGATGATTCACTGTTTGAGCCTTCCAAGTATCGATGTTAATATTGCTTTCATCGGATTGGCCTTCAAGGTGTACTTGAATCTCTTCTTTTGCCTACCTCTAAAGTGATTACCATTAGTGATCTGGACCTGTTTTGGGAGATAGTTGTCAGGCATCCATACAACAATCCTGTCCAACAGAGCTGATGTTGTATAAACATGGCTGGTGGTGTCTGCTTGAGCCAGAACACTAGAATTCATTCTACTGTCCTTCTGATTGATATGGAGGATTTTCTGAAGAATGCTTTCAAGGCTTTCAGGTGTTACCAATAAGCTGTCCAGCTTTCACATCCACCAAAACAACAGAGTAGGGATGGCAACAGCCTAGTAGACAAGAAATTTGGTTTGAGTCCTGATATTGTGATTATCAAAGACACAATATTGGAGACGTTCAAAGGCAGCACTGGCAGATTCTATTAAGTGTTGAGTATCATAATCTTTTTTACGTTATAAGAAAGGTGACTACTGAGATAGGGTAACTACTCAATACTGTCCAAGAACTGCCCTGTAATTGTAAAATGTAGTGAATCCCCTGGTTGGTTTGGAATAGCCTGCTAAAGTATCTTGGTTTTTGTGAAGTTGACAGTGAGTCCAAGTATTTCGTCTGCTTCACAGAAGACATCAGGAATGATGTGGAGCTCTACAGTTGATAGGACACACACAAGACAATCATCAGCATACTGAAGATGAGTAATGGAGGTGTTGGGTATCCTGAATTTCGAATGTGAGCAGTTGATGGTAAAGAGATTCCCATCCATGCAGTACAGATTTCCCTCGCTTTATGCTGTACATGCATTCCTAGAAAATGGCACATAACTCAAATTCGCATAAAGGGAACCCACTTTACAATGTAACAAATAGGGATATGTTCCAAGACCTCAACTGTGCTGACCGCCAGACCCATTGCTACCACTTTCACAAGACAATTTTGGTACTCACCAACAGCAGACAGTACACACAAGCACAAGGTACTATCATAATGGGGATGGAAACTACAGAAATACATGTCACAGACAATGAACGAGGAGCCCAGATCCACACAGGAGACTATATTTTGGTGCGTGTCACTCCCACAATGCACCACACAAAGCAGCTGACTGTGGGCTTCTACCACACCAAACACATAAAAGTGAATTTATCTCACATATAACAAATTTTTGGTATAAAAAGGGTCAACGCATAAGAGCGAATTTGCACATACAAAACCTGCATAAAGCAAGGGAAACCTGTACTAGATGCTGATTCAAGATGGAAGTCTATCAACAATGAGATATGGAATAGCTGCAATAAAGATGGTAAAAAGTATTGGTGCAATCATGTATCCTTCCTTGACTGCAGTTCTAATGTTGAAGGGGTCCACATTCGAGCCATTGCTCAGGACAGTGGCTGTCGTGCCATCATAAAGAAATTTGATGGTACCAAATTATGGTAGACATCCAGATATCACCAGGGCTTCTCTGTTGATTGAAGCAAAAGCCTTAGTCAGATCAATGAAGGTCATGTAAAGATCTGTAGTGATAAATGGCATGTCTCCTGCAGCTGTCTAGCAACAAAGAACATGTCGATTGTACCTCTAGGTGGTCTGAAACCACATGGGTAGGAATATCCAGAAATTGCGCTGGATGTGCACGGTACGATGACGTCTTTAATGTTGGAGTTCCCCCCCGTGCCACAGATTGGCAGGGGGCCCCATGACTCACCACCTATGCCTGATGGCTGAGAGGTGAAGACCACTGCGATTTTCACCTTCTGGCCATCAAGTATGGGTGGCAAGCAGTGAGCAGTGGAGCCCCTCTGCCAATCAGCAGCAGGGGGCACGCAGGGGAAACTCCAAGATTAAAGAAGCTGCCGCACTATGCACTTCCGGTGTGAATTCCAGAGATCCCTACACATTGGGACTCAAGTAGAATCTCCTTGGCAAAGGGAGTGAGTCTACTGAAGAGAATGTGGGTGGGGATCTTCCCAGCTATGAACAGAAGTACAATGCCACAGTAACTCGTGCAATCCAATCTATCTCCTTTCTTGAATACGGTTACAATTCTAGCATCTGTCAAGTCACTGGGAATCTGTTCTAGTCATGGCAGTACATCAATAATATGTGACTTATCACTTCTTTGAAGATCCCTGGAACATCCCTAGACACACTACCATGAGCTAATCAAGAACTATTAATTTGTTTCTATGTATGTATTTATTTGATTTCTATGCCTTCCTGTCCAAAAAGGCTCAGGATGGGTTACAGTATTAACATTAATTGTAAGCTGTATTGTATTTAATTTAAACTTACTGTCACCTCAGTTCAGTTAAGCAGGTGCAAATGATATGGCACTTTAGGGGTTAAGTAGAAAAGTTTAGCTCTAAATCCATGAGCTACTCATCTGAAAAAGACTTACACTCTTGGGCACAGTATATTCTGCAAAACTGAACCTGGCACAATGTAATATAGTAAAATATCAGTAATAAATTTCTTTCCTTTTTCAAACTCTCTGCCAGAAATATCAATTCATAAGCCAAAATGAATGAATTACTGTAAAGTTAGAAAAGAGCAAGAATACAACAATCCTGCCACCTAGTGGAAATATCCTGCTCTTCCATGTTGCTACATATGCCAAACCCAAGGGCAGAGGAGAGAGTCACTGAATTAGGGAAAATGTCATTCCATAACAGAAATCTACCCCTACCAACTGATAAATCCCTTGATAATGAAATCAAATGGC